GTCCCCCACCTCCTGCACTGAGTCCAGCCCAGGACAGAGCTGGACTTCTTGATGACCCTGTCCAGCTTCTTCCTCTCCCTCTCTGTGATGCTGCTGCTCCAGCAGACCACACCGTACAGGATGGCTGATGCCACCACAGAGTCATAAAAGGTCTTCAGGAGTGGCCCCCCCACTCCAAAAGACCTGAGTCTCCTCAGGAGATAGAGCCTGCTCTGGCCCTTCCTGTACAGTGCATCTGTGTTGTGAATCCCGTCCAGTTTATTGTTCAGATGAACACCCAGGTACTTATATGAGTCCACTCTCTCAATGTCCCTTCCCTGGATGTTCACTGAGAGGGCAGTAGAGTGACATCTGCGGAAGTCCTCCACCATCTCCTTGGTCTTCCCTGCATTGATGATGAGGTGGTTCTGCTGACACCAGTCCACAAAGTCCTGTATTAGTCCTCTGTACTCCACATCATTATCATCCTTGATGAAGCCAATGATGGCAGAGTCATCAGAGAACTTCTGCAGGGCGCAGCTGTTCGTGTTGTGTCTGAAGTCTGCAGTGTAGAGGGTGAAAAGAAAGGGCGCGAGGACAGTGCCCTGGGGCGCCCCCACACTACCAGTCAGGAGGTCAGACACGCAGTTCTTGGATCTCACAAACTGGGGCCGGTTTGTGAGGTAGTCCAGAATCCAGTCTGCCAGGTCACAGTCCACACCGGCAGTCTCCAGCTTGTCCCTCAGGAGCAGTGGCTGGATGGTGTTGAAAGCACTGGAGAAATCAAAGAAAAGAATCCTCACAGTGCTGCCGGGGTTAACTAGTTAACTAGGGGTTAACTAAGTTAATTAGTCAAGCTTTCCGGAAAAGGAATTCTGACGTTGGTTACAGTAATCTTATGACAGTTTCATATTCCCGTTTTCTGTAGTTTCTGTCTCTGGAAAAATACACTTCTGCACAGTCCCGCCCCTGACTAAGCGCTTGGATTTTTGCAGTCTCCAGTTTAGGAACACAAAATATAACAAACTTAGCATGCAAACGAGCAGGTGAGGTCACCAAGCCAAGTTACAGATCAGATCTGTGGAGAGGCAAGTGCACTCAATGACAGAATGCATGTTTTTCAGAGTATTTTGTAATGTAATAAATGAATGTGATGACTAACCAGTCACTAGAAAAGTTGCACAGTGCCCCTTTAATTTGACTGTGACTCAGGTCTTGGATTTTTGCAGTCTCCAGTTTAGCAACACAAAATAACAAACTTAGCGTACAAATGAGGTTCAAGGTATTTTGAATGTGAATGTAATGACTAACCAACCACTAGAAAAGTTACACAGTGCCCCTTTAATTTGTCAAGCTTTCCCGAAAAGGAATTCTGACGTTGGTTACAGTAATCTTAGGGCATTTTGGCATTTCTGTTTTCCATAGTTTCTGTAATTGGAAAAATATACTTCTTTACAGTCCAGCCCTTGACTCAGCGCTTAGATTTTTGGAGTCTCCAGCTTAGGAACCTAACATTAATTTAAAACGTCTGGAAAGATTCTTCCTGTGTTGCGAAAGTGACGCAGGCTGGACCGTACGTCACAGGGACGCACCGGGAGGAGACCACCCAGTTGTAAGGGCCGCTAAAGCAAATATTTCAGAGACACGGGTGAAATACGAAGAGCTGTTGTAAAAAGAGTGAGTCAGGAAACAGATACAGATAGAAAGGGTGATAGTGAGGATACCGCAGACATCAAGTATATCTAATCTATCAGGTCCAAATGTTTGTAGAATGATGCAAGAGAAAGGTGATGCAAAACTATTTCCACACACACAGAGCTGCTTTGTTTAGTCTGTTGTAGAGATGAGTGGTTGTAGTAGTTATTAATACAGTAGCAAGAGTCTAAAAATATCTGTGTGTGAAAACCAGATGTGTATTTCTGTGTATATTCAAACAACAACATAATAATCATAATAGTGAACAGTCACATTTTTATACAGCACTTTTCCACCTTCAAGTCACTCAAAGCGCTTTACAACAAGGAACCACTCACCCATTCACCAGTAGGTAGGTTAAGTGTCTTGCCCAAGGACACAATGACAGCATTCAGATGTGGGAGCTGGAATCACACCACCAACCCGTGGGTCCGTGGATTTGACCCCTCAACCAGTGATGTTTATGTCAAGAGCAGAATTCGAACCACAAACCTTTTGGATCAGCAGACAAACGATCTTCCAACTGAGCTACTTAACTAATATTAATAATTTAAAGAAATGTAAAGAAATTATTTTAACAACAGGTTAAAAATTGGGATGCAACAATAACTGAAATATCGTGATATCGTATCGTCGAAGTTCTCAATATCAGTAATATCGTCGACCATCACAATATATCGAATTACAAGCCTCTTTGCTTATATTAAGAGTTATGGTGCAGCAAGTAGCTAAAAAAAAGACAGAGTGAACTACATAGACCATGATCCTTTGCTCCATTTCAGTGTAGACTACAAGAAGAAATAACAGTTCTAAACACTTTTAAGTCTTAGTTCTTTGGATTAAGTCTTGTCAGGGCATTTTAAGAGGAAAAAGTAGCATGTTAACAGTTTTGTTCGCCTCCACAAAATATCTCAATAAATATCGTACCGTGAGATGTATATCGTGAAAATATCGTACCGAGAGATTTGGATATTGTTACAGCCTTAATCGTGAGCCTCCCTACCATACCGTGAGCTTTCCCAAAATAAATATGGTACCGTGAGATTCATACCGTGACGATATTCGTATCGTGACACTAGGATATTGTTACACTCCAAGTTAAAAATAAACATATTTATTACGCTGTATAAATATAATGTGCTTTAGTGACTTTGTATTATCGCCTTCAGTTTCCAGAGAGAGAGAGACCTGCTTTGTTTAGTTCTTTGTAGAAATATGCAGTGTTGTGTTTAGTTATTAATACAGAAATAAATGTTAATGTTAATGTTAATAAATTCAAATGACTACACAGGAAATAAAAGTAATAGTTATATGATATTCTAGGCTATAGGGACTAAAGGGAGGCTGTCAGACTGCTCCATCAGTGAAGTGTCTTGTCTAAGAACACAGCAACGCCCCTCTGTGGCACCTACCATAATAGGTTTTAAATTCATTGGTATTGGTATTTCTGAGTGTTGACCGCATTCAAATGAATACAAGTGAAATAAAAAGTAATACTATTAAAAGCCATACATTTAAAACAGGTAAAAAATTTGGCTATACACAAATACCACACATAGTATTTTAGTAAACTTAAGTTAAGAGAGTTAGAGTGTTACTTCAATAAAACACAACTCAAGTAGAAGTAATATGCTAGAAAAGTATTGTGAAAAGTACAATTGCATCAAAACGTTACTCTAGTAAATGTGAATTAGTACTATCCACATCCTGTCACTATCTGTTTCCGTTTTAAGGTGCTTTGTTCAGTTTGTTGCATAAATAAGATTGTGTTATTAATACAGTAGGAAGTGGTCTAAAAATATCAGAATACAAAACATGTCCAGTGGGGCGTTATGTATACTGACAACATTCAAATGCCAACAAAGGACGTATAGGGGAGTACTGCAGAATACTATAATAAGGCATTAAATGATTTTCTGTGCTACTGATACTTTGCAGCTGAGGTCATCAAAATTCTCTGGAAGTGTGATGCTAACTGTAGACTCTGCTCTGTCTGTTCACCTATAAAATTATAATCACAAGAAACTGTTTTCAGTAGCTCACGCTCACTATTGAGTTTACAGACAATGTTAAAATGTTTTGACAGTGTTTGCATTGTGTCACCATGGTTACCCCATACATTCCACCATTAAAGATACATGTAGAACACCCCCAACGTGATGAACTGCAAAGTATCAATAATGTCACATGAGAGATGTACTTTCAAACACACAATTTTCTGTTGTTCTTCACTTTATAAAGGCTGTGCATTGTGTTTTTTCACCACTACTTCCCCAGATACGAGGTAGACATGTTCAGAACAAGTATTGCTTGAAAAGATAACAGTTAATGTTATTCTTTGGGGTTGTTTTGGTTCTCAAGAACTGATCTAAATCTCACATGAGAGTTGCCAGTTTCAGTGTAATCCAACTGGTTTAAACCTAAAATGCCTCTCTCCTTGGTCTCCATGATGATAGAAACAAATCAACAACATCTCCATGGAGAAAAGCATTTGACGAACTCTTCACCAGAAAAGTTACACAATGCATCTTTAAGGCTCTGGCAACCCAAGTCCAGTTGTGCGCATAATCGTAGTCTCAAGAGCGCAGGATATACTAGTATTGGTGGTTTTCAGATTCTAGAATGTGATGATGTCATACTCCCTGATGGGTAAGGTTAGGTTAGGTTGCTTTATTCACACCCATAGGTAAATTTGTTTTGCAGATTTGAGAGACTGGGCCCACAGCTCACATTTCATTCATCCACATTATGTACAATAAACACATATAAAAACACAATTACAAAATAAAAAAATAAAGTGTTACAGTGCTCCAGTGCAGAATGGTTTTGTTCCATGAAAAATTAATAAAATTCATCCATCACGCGTTGTACAATAAATATTAAATATATAAAAAAACACACATTTTTTCTAAAACAACGCACTAAATTTGATTGATAGATAAATAGATTACAATTATTTTACAAAGTATGATAGCAGCTGGAATGAAGCTCCTTTAAGAATGATTGATGGGGGGTAAAGACCTGTTTGATAACATTCATGACAAATATCTAAAAAGTAAATTCAGAAATGTTGAACCAGATTCTTTCTATTATGACTAGACCCAAAACTCACACTTACAACAAAAAATGCTATTTAATAATAATACTTTTAGCTGTCCCCGTCTGTATTAAATTAAACTGGTCTAAAGAATATTGTGGTGTCAGTACAGTACCTTGGAGCATTCAAATGTCTTATGCTATACCTCCCTCTAGTGGTAAAACATAGAACTACTGCCTCAAACCTGCAGTCCTGGTTGTGTCCACTGCGCATGCGCCAAACCCGGAAGTCCCCAGAGCGCACCACGGGCTGAGGAGGAAGCTGCTGCTCCGGTGTGACAGAACCCAGCCACGGGATCAAAGAACAGCGCTACGGGTTCAAAGACCGAGGACTTGAGCTTGAACTCTTCATTTATCCACACTGATTGAATACGCGGTCCATTTATTGTTTACGGCAGGTTAAAATGTCGAAGCAACCCGCGTCTGCGCGCTTCCGGAGGGTGGACGTGGATGAATACGATGAAAACAAATTCGTGGATGAAGAGGACGGAGCAGAGAACCAGCTGGGTCCAGACGAGGCGGAGGTGGACTCTCTCATCAGACAATATCCTTTACATTGACAAGAATTAGCCTGTTTGCCAGCTCACACGAGGATCTATGGTTATATAGTGTGATTAACAATGTATGAATGAGGATCTGAGGGCAGTAGCCAATGGCCTAGTTGTTGTTGCATGCCAAACAGACAAATAACAAGAGTTTTCTGGTCATAAATACAAAAGGCTTCTGAAATTACAGAACATAGTTTAATATAGTTGTAATAGTCTATTTTCTGAATGCTTGGTCATGGGAGCTAACTTGTAAACAGATCCTTGCACAGGCTACTTAACTTAACAAAATATTAGGCAGTTTAAAAGAGTTCAGTGCATTAGTGAAGATTTAGAACTGACAAATGCCTTAAAGGATCCATCTTACACTATTTTGATCTATGTTATAATGTTGTTTTGTCATCAAAAACATTCCTTGAGTTAGGGCTGCTCGATTATGGAAAAAATAGTTATCACAATTATTTTGGACAATATTGAAATCACCATTATTCAAACAATTATTATTTTTTTTGTTACATCAGCATTTTTCTCTCAAAAAGCACCAAAACACAACAAAACACTTTGTTATTGATAATTTATGCAAAACTTTTAAATTACTTTAGGCTACAAATATAAACTTGAGAGTAGTGTTGCGACATATAAAACATAAAATGAATAAAATATACTTTGAACATGAAATAAGGCATAGAAAAGTATAAATGTATACAAAATAAACTATATATCCTGTGGTTCTACAATCTCTATATTTAAAAAATAAAATAAATATACTTGCGTAATCAAATTTGTATTAATTACACAGCTTTATCTTGAGTTGTGTTTTGTTTTATTCACACATGTTTAACAGAAACATTCTGTTCCACCTTGTGATGTCACGTGGTAATACAGGAAGTGCTCCACTGTGTTTTTTAAAGTCCATACACCTTCACTAGAATCATCTGGATGATTTCAGCCTTAGAATTGACATTGTCTACTGAATAAAAGGTAAAGGGTAACTTGAGTAGTGCCACTACATGACATCACAAGGTGGAACAGAGCATTTTGAGCTTTAGAGATGTAAACAGACTAATAATAAAGGGTTACTCAAACATGTGTGAATGAAACAAAACATATCTATCTCCAGGGAGACAAGTTACATTTAAGATCTGTTGATAGATGATTGTCACACAAGTTTAATGCCATACTGTGGAACATGTCATGTCATCTGAATGGCTTAATTTGCATTTAATAATCATCATTTGTAGCCCTTAACCCTTGTTGCACGGGGAGTCTAATAGAGGCGTTGCATGCAGTTTTGAAGAACCCACCAATCAACACAAAGAACCAGAATGTCAAGGTGAGAAATTGTCACCAAAATGAATTTTGAATAAAAAAATTAATAAATAAATATATATATATATATATATTACCACAACATACAACACATTTGGGAATTGTGATTTTAATTTTTTAATTTCTATCTTCCCTTCCCCTCAGGATCGAGCAGAGGGTTTGGTTCTTAAAGTGCTCACAGCGTTCAAGAGCAGCGACATAGAGAAAGGTGTTCAGTCTTTGGACAGAAACAGTGTAGATCTCCTCATGAAATACATCTACAAAGGCTTCGAGAGGCCCTCAGAAAACAGCAGCGCCGTGCTGCTCCAGTGGCATGAAAAGGTGACAGTTTTCACAGTTTTAACTTTGATTTCATGTATTTTAAATCTGTGTATTTTCCTGCATTATACTGAGAAATGACTAACTTGGCCTGCTTACGGAAGCTTTCTTCTCATTTAGGTCACTGGTAGTTTCACTTCCCTTCTGGTTACTGCTATCTGTCTATTAGGCAACTCTTAACTGATCCCTTTAAGGCTTGGGTCTCCAACCTGTAGCTCGGGAGCTATGAATAACTCTGCACCCCCTTTAGAGTAGCTCGACAAGGAATTTCTGAATTTGACGTATTGTGCTGAATAAGTAAAATTTGATTGTAATGTATCATTTTCACGCCTAACTTTGTGCACTAATAAATGGATAGAAGTTTATGTTTTATAAGCATCTAACTGTTCCGCGTCTAAGGCTTGCCGAGGCTCTTATATTTACTCAGTTTCTTTCTTCCACTGTTAAAATAGGTAGCTCTCTGGCATTTTCATTTTGTTAAAAGTAGCTCACTGGAGGAAAAGAGACTCCTGCATTAAGGGTTTTAATAATGTTTTTTGGCATCACAAATATAATATGAGTGGTGTGTAGCTTCATACACGGACATTTGAGTGATTTAAAATTGAAAGTCACTCATACAACATTGTTTAACATTTTATTTGAACACTATTTCTTCTATACTGATTCTACATGTGATTTTCTTGTGTTTTCATGATAGGCTTTGGCAGTGGGCGGAGTGGGCAGCATCGTCAGGGTCCTCACAGCCAGAAAGACGGTCTAGACCAGGATCTTAAACCAAGATCTAAACCAGGAGCACTTCACGTCACATGATGAGAGCAGCGCTTCATTCACTCAACCAGATGGACAACAGCAACCTTTTAACCCAATGAAAGGCTGCTGCTGAGTGCAAGTATAATCTGGGTTTAAAACGGTTCACTCCTTTAACTGAATACAGCCTACTTTAATATATCATTACAGGGTGCTACAGAAAGCCATCTCTCACTCTCATTTTACTAATGGGCATGCTATTTATTATTACCTCTAGCTAGACACTCATGTTTGCAGTATTTTATTACATTTTGGCAGTAACGTTTCAAGTTTATAATTTGGACGATTCATTATCTTGATTGCAAAACTGGAATAGGCCACAAATGAACAATTATATGAGACTGAATATAACGTGATAACAAGACAAGATGATAGCAAGTTAAGGTATGTTAAAATTACTCAAAATAAAGTTATGACTTGAGATCCATATATTAACTTCAATGTTGAAATATGATTCTGCAATGAAAGGAAAGTTAAAGTGTTCTTGTACAGATCTACATGGTACTAGGATCATTTGGTTTCTATAGTTGGGATGCACCGATCCAATGACAGAATTTTCTGTTCGAATACCGATGTCGATACTTTGGCTTTAAGTATTTGCCAATATCTGAGATGAACAAATTCTAGGGCAGAGACTGAAAATATGAACATAAACAAAATGACAAAATGGCAAAATGGTTAAATATAATCCATATGCGGGCGCATCAGCAGAAATTTCTTATAAATTATTAAGTAGGCCCCTAAGACCCTGCATGGGGCCCGGGACAACAGATCCTTTTATCCCCCCCGTAGACTCCCCTGTCCATATGTGTTCTGTAACTGTTACTACAGAAGAGCTTTGAAAAAGTAGAAGTTTAATAATTTGAGGGGTTTTGGGCAAACATCAACTAGTAAATCGTCTTATCCATCCAGTGAACCGATATCTTGAAATCCATTAAAATGTTTTAAAAGTACCAGTATACCAGTATTGTATACATTCATCCCTTCTCTATAGCTGAAAATGTCTAAGGTTTCATTTCTTTCTAGCAAGAGCACAACCTTATTAACCTTATTAAACGGCCTACACACTCATCTAACAAAATATTTTTTTAAAACGCATATAATTTGAATCTCTTTACCAATAGCTGCTTTTACAATATACTGTCTGGAGTATAAGACGAGGTACAGGCCCTAATCCTATTGCTATTTACAGGTTTAATCCACCTGTTTATAGGCGCCATTTTGAGGACTTTTCACCATTCAAAAGATAGAATATTTCGTTTATTGTCTATTGCTATGACAACACTAACAACTCATGGATTCCACATTATGCCTTTAGCCTTTAGCGGTTGATGTCACACACGCGCGCACACACACTCGCACACACAGGGGGGAGGGGGATACATCTCTTCATTCATTTATTCATTCACCCGTACTGTCTGGCCCAGTTTAGGATTATTATTACTCACCAGTAATCTAATCCTTCCACTTCACATCTCCCCGGTCTTTCCGCTGTCCTGTACAAGGCACCATACTGTGCAGATTATCTATGTCCTGTTTAATTGGGATTGTTGAAAAATCTGTAATTCCAAATTAAGAAATTGAAAAAACTGCAATTTTTCTTTTAGATATATGCAAAATTTGAATATAATGTGCTGTATATTGTCTTTCTTTAAAATGAACAATAGGAAACTTGTTATATAATTTTTCACCAAGGGTACTTTAAAATGATATTTTAGCATTTTTGTGTTTGTTTGTTTCAATTTAAAATCAATTCTCTTATTGTGCAAAATTTTAATCTCAACCAAGACATTACAGGCAGTTTTGCACTTTTCTGATATATTGTATGTATTATTATTATCATCTGGATAATCAAAAAAGTGTTGAATTAATAATATGCATTAAGATGATCAAATCCTGTGTCGCAAGTTTAGTATTAAGAACTTATTTTAAGCTTAAAAATCAGTATTATTTTACATCCATTTTCAACCACACTTGCACAACTCACAAAGGAAGAAATCTGAAATGCAACGCCTGCCTCATGAGGATGTAAAAATGTATGTTGCCAAATAATTATTTCATATGATTGAAGTAATGTATTGATTAGTATTAGTTAAACATAATTGTGTAATATGCTTGTTTGGTTTTTGCTTCTTTAACTTTTCGTACTGGGCATTTAGATCGATTTGAGTTTTGTTTTGTTTTTTTTGTGATATCACGTCAAATGATTTAAACATGCTTTGAGAGAGAGATGGGTGCGGTATCGAAAAACTTATATCGCTATTGATACTTTGCAATGACATCATGATGGGGGTGTTCTACATGTACAGTATATCTATTGGCAGAATGTTTAGGAGTTACCACGGTGACACAATGCACATTTTAGCAAACACTGTCAAAAAACATTTTAGGATCATCTGAAAACTCAAGAAAAAAGACAAAATGGATTTAAACTGCACAAATCAGCTCACCCATTGAAGATGATATCAGTGAAGTATCAATTGTTGATTATTGATTATATTGTCTGTAATAAAAAAAAACAATTAGCAAAAAACTCATCCTTTCTTTGAGACATGTTTAAGTCTATAAAAAAAAAGACAGTATATAGATGAGTTTTTCAGTTGCAGTGTTGACTTGAATACTAAAATAACAGTTATGTTTTGTGAATTTCTGGTCTAATACTGTTTTTGTTTTTTTTGCTTTGACTGAAAAGAAAATGTGAATTGAATCGTTTGTGACTGATGGACAATTGCCTTATATGAAACTAATTTTTATGTTTAGCTTTTTGATTAAAATAATAAAATGTAAGAATGCTGGTGATAAACATTGTGTTATAGTCTTCTTATAGTCAGCACCTTCAACCATAACAGATCACACACACATTCATAAGCATTCCAATGTCATTTTAAAGAGGCACTAGGTAACTTTTCTGCTGGAATCGCATCCACTTGCTTGTCTTCGTGAAGATGCTCTTGCTTTGCCTGAAATCCCCCCACAGTACGGCATTAAACATATCTACTGTATCTTGGATTTTTCAATTACAGGAAGCTAAAATACTCTGAAAAACATGCATTTGTACTGTGCGTGGGGTCGCCTCTCCGCAGATCTGGCCTGTAATTTGGACTGGGGGTGTGACCTACTTGTCGCCATAGAGACAGAGACTACTTTAATGCCAGATTGTGGAATATTTCAAGTAAAGCAGGAGACAAGCAGGTGGCAGACCCTCCATTAGTTACAAAAGTTCCAAAAGTTACACAGTCCACCTTTATATATGGTGACCAGACGTCCCTGTTTATCCTTGACAGTCCCAGGTTTGAGCGTTGTGTCTCCTGTCCCAGTTTTATACAAGAAATGTTCCAGAAGTCCCTATTTTTGACCAATCTGATCCCTGCCAACACTGAAGAGAGGCATAAATTGTCATTTGTTTAGGTAAAATACAGAAAATCTGCTTAAAAATGACCAAAAGACTCAGACAGTATGACACTATCGACTCACAAGTGCATAACATTTTTCTTTAACTTGCGCTCTCCTCGAGGTCACATTGACCTGAAGAAAAGTTTTTTTCCCTTCCTGCTCTCTTGGGGCGGGTCAATCAGACCCAAAAATTTATTTTCAAATTAAGTTTTGCCAGGCAAGAAAACAAATTTTTGGGTCTGATTCACCTGCCCAAGACAGCGGAGAAAAAAAAAGTCTTTGGATCAATGTGACCTCGACGAGAGCATGAGGGCTTTAATTATGCATTTGTGTGTTTATTACACACAGTTTTATTATTACTAACCATTCCAAACAAAGGATGTCTCAGTTTTTTATTTTGAAAATCTTTATAGGTAGAGCGTTCATTCTTCATTCTTCAAGGGCCCATATTGCACTATTTTCTGATCTCTGTTATAATGTTGTTTCCTCATCACAAACAGACCTGGAGTTGTGTTTTGTTTCATTCACACATGTTTAACACAAAATCCTGCATATTTAGGCTGAGTTATTTCAAACAGAAAACCCCTTTTGATGCCGTGGTGATACAGGGCTCTACAGCTCCACTGTGTTTTTAAACTCAACACACTTTCACTAGAATCATTTGGATCATTTGAGACCTGGAATTGCCAATCTCTATAGAACTAAAGTTAAAAGGAGCTGTTAAGATGAAAACCACAGCTTTATTACATCACAAGTTGGAACAGAACATTATGAGCTTTTGAGATGTAGACAGACTAATAATAAAGATTACTCGTGTGTGTGAATAAAACAAAACACAACTCCAGGTCTGTTTTTGAGAAGGTAACAACATTATAACATGACTTATTTGTTCTTCTGATAATTAAGTTATTAGGTTCTTTTTGCAGAGCATTAGTTTGTTTTTATACCAGACAGTTTCGACTGCTCACTAGTGGTCTTCCTCAAAGTGGTCACGTGATGTTGCTGTGACGTGTCTGGTCAGATGATTTTTACAGGTTTTGGCGCTGTCTTCCTACCGGAGGAGGCAGTATGACAGCGCTATCTACAGTCCGACTTCCTCAGGACAGTATCCCAGGTGTGTGAGAGTAAAAAGCCCCCTCATCCTGGTTTATAGTTTTTATAATATTTGTGATTTTTCTGGCAGGCATCTTTAATACACCCAATAGTTGTTTCCTTTTTATTACAAAATGAATACATTACATACAACATCCCAATACATTAAGATAAACAATAGCTATGTACAATTCATAAAAATAAAGTACATCTTTGTTGTTGGTTGATGTTTTTTGGTGCACATGTTACAGTACAAAGTTTGGATTTTGGGTCAAGTTTTACCACATTACTTTCTAGTTCTTCAAGCACATCCCAATAAGTTAAAAATAGGTAGATGTAAAAACGCTGAATTAAAAAAGGTTGTTTCCATGAAGGGGATCTGTAATAATAAAATTTCATATAAATAAAGCTTAAAGATGCATTGTGTAACTTTTCTGGTGGAGGTTCCATTAAGGTTTGTTCTGCATGATATTATTTCTTTATCTGGAATGTTTCACAATATGACATTAAACTTTTCTATCATCATGGAGACCAAACCAGACCAAGTTACAGGTAAGATCTGTGGAGAGGCGACCCCGCTCACAGTCAGAATGCCTGTTTTTCTAGGTATTTTTGAGCTATAAAACCACCTGTAATTGAATAAATGTAAGTTAGAGCTGTTTAATGTCACACTGTGCAATATTCTAGGCAGAGTAATGACACATCCATAGAAACAGGCAGGTAATGGACCCTCAACCAAAAAGTTACATAGTGTACCTTTAATAACAAAGACAAAAATTTGAATATTGAAGTCTCTTAGGCTGAAGTGAGGTTTTCAGGAATCAAAGGCTGTTTAGTCCATCCTCTCTTGGAGTTTTCAGCCCTGTTTAAATCAACCACAGTCTGAGCACTACAGCACTCAAATAGTCTTTTTCAGTTCATTTTGCTTGTGTAATTTGCAGGGATGGGACAAGACCTCTGACCACAAAATTCGCAAGAAATAAAATAGGTAAAAATTTTGAACATGTGTAAAATGATGTGATCCTGGACAAAAAAGGGTTCTGTGCTGATGAGTTTTATTTTTAGAGTCCATAGTTCAAAAAAACTGCAAAAATATAATGTGAGGCCAGATTTTATTTTTACTGTGATAGTGATAGTTCTCTTAACTTTTTTTATGACTCAATTTCTTCTGCTGGTTGGCTGCATGTCAACAACAAAAATAATCTCCTATTTGGGATAAATAAATGTAATTATAATTCTGCAGTTGTCAACTTAACCATACAATTTATTTATTATATTATGTCAAAATCTCATCTTGTCTCATTTATGTGAACTAGACCTGAACAACTTGAGAAAAGAATATCAAATTTTAGAGTAAGTATTGTGATTTTGATTGTATTTGAGATTGTAGAATAAGATTCTGTTCAAGGAGAATGGACAAAAAGATTGAAATATAAACTGACAAACTAATACAAGAATCAGATTTCAGAACATGTGTGTACAGATATAAACTTCAGGGTTAGCAGTTTTTACGCAGAATAAGACAGGATATTCTGTTGCTTGTGGAGAAAATTATGACACTTCAAAAACTGCAGCCTTTACGATAATGGCGTCCACTCAAACTGCGATTTTGGTTTCGATTTCTCGTCTTGTCTTGTACTCATCCCATCCCTACTAATTCTTATATAGATGATCCTTTGCCAGTCTCTTGCCTCTTGTTGTGATTTAAAGTGCTCAGTAGGGGTAGGCAGACACAGCAATGTAAACTATAAAGGTGGTCTGATACTCGATCCCTCCGTTTTCGCTGTAGGACAAAGCTCGGACCTTCATGCGGTATGTGTGGGGCTCTCGGAGGGGTCTGGTGGTGAACAGGACCCCCTTCATGTTCTCGTCCCTTAATGCAAAAGGCAGCGTGGTGTCTTCATCCACAACTAAGAAGGTGGTCCTGGGGTGCATGACTCCATCCTGGGTGTAGGCGACCAGGCGGATCAGGTCCTGATTGGCTGCGATTCCAAAAGGTAGAGACAGGAGTTTGTATTCCAGAGCGTAGGGGCTCAGGGCACATTCCAGGTCATTCGGAGGACAGTTTTTCAGACAGAACCTGCAACACAGTCAATAGGTTTGGTTCATTTGACATCACAGCATATATTTATATAGTTATACTAAAGGGCTTATATTTTGCTATTTTCTTATCTATGTTAATGCTATCTATGTTATAATGCACAGTAGATTCCTCATCAAAAACAAACAAAAACTATCCTAAGACCTTTGAGACCTTGAACACACATAGATAATTATTTCACATGTAATTCAATGTACTCTGCATTATTGATTTCAAATATCTTAGTAATAAAAATGGGACCATTGGCTATCTGTCCAAAACTGCAGAATTAAGAGGTAATCCCTTCATAGTGGCGCTGACTTTCCGTTTCATGTCTTTATTGTTAAAAAACGATATAAAACATTATATATGATATATGAATGGCTCAAGTAAGTATAGAGCAGTGGGCGGAGCTAGTGGGTAAGTGAACGGAGACATTTTCTGAACACTCAAGCCTCAAATGCAGGACAATATAGGAGGACAACTCAAACATGAATCTCACTAAATATATCCACTTGATAAGATCCAAAGCTCATAAGCGTCTTAATATCCATATTTCCTAATGTAGCTGGTGTGCAGGTCCAGTCCAGGCTGAGTGAAAGTGTGAGTATTGTTGTTTTACCCTGTGGCTGCGTCTCGTAGGTAGTTGGGGGGGCAGGGCGTGTCTATGCACTGATAACTCCCTCTCATGTTGAAGCACATTCGGTTTGCTCCACACTGAATGTTCTGCTCCAGACACTCGTCTATGTCTGTAGACAGAAGATATTACATGTTCATATGTTTCTGTTGATCCTATAATATGTTACAGTACTGTGGTCCTCACCTTGACAGGTCTTCCCGTTGGTCATGAGTCTGTACCCAGCGGGGCACACACAGCGGTGACTCCCCGGGGTGTTCATGCACTCATGTTGACAGGTGTCTCTCACCTCACACTCGTTTATGTCTGCACATGTTCAAAAACAGAGACACAGAGAGACACACAACATGACACAGGCTTGAGTCTACAGAGGTACAGTTTACATTAAGACAACATTACTTCACTTCATCCGCTCCCTCTCTGTGTAATTACCTACACAGCGCCCCCCTCTGAGCTCAAACCCATGTAGACACATGAGGGAGCTGTGCTGTGAGGCGTGCACACTCCTCTGGGTGCGGGCCCTGGGGCGCCCCCTGTTGGCTGCCCCATAGGAGTGGTAGCTCTGAGAGGCCATGCTGTGGTAGTGCTGCTGAATGGAGCT